CCCTCCCCCAGCCCTTCTCTCCCCCCCTCCCCGTGCCCACTCCTCCAGTAGCCCCACTCTGATCATATGAGCTACCCCTCCTCATGCCCTCTTCTAACACCTCCCTCTACACACCTGCCCTGCCTCTTTCCTCTGGTGCTGGTCTCCCCCCTGCAGCTGTCTGCCCTTCTGCTTCACCTCCAGAATCTCCTGGCACCTGCACCTTCCTTTAGCCCTGCACCCTCCTGGTGCCTTCCCCTTCCCTTACTGCCCTTGCCCCCTTTTTCCCTGATGCGCACCCCCTCATCACTCTGCCCCATTCCCCTCTTGCCCCTCTTCTGTGCCATCACACGTGCCTTGCTCCATCCCCATCTTTCTCATGCCCACCCCTTCTTTTAAGCCTTCTCCTCTCCCCCTCCCTCTCTAACCCCCAATGCCCTTCCCCTCTCCTCTCCCAGCATCACACTGTCCCCCCCCCCACTGACACCTCCACTCCTGCCCTTTTCCTCCTTGTCCCCACTTGCTCCCCCCGCATTAGTCTCTCCTGCACCCCTGCCCCTTGGTGCCTTCCCCTTTCTTCTCCTGACCTCCCCCCTCCCATTAGCACAAGCCCCTTCCTCTCCCACCTCTCTGCCTCGCCTCCCTTCTTCCTTCCCGTTTGTAGGGCTGAAGTCTGCTGCAATCAGGCCCCAGACGTCCCCACAGCCTGGGCTCTAGGCCACATGCCGGTGCCAACGCTCGCAGCCCTACCCCATCACAACATGACCGGTCCCGCCCTAGCGAGGCTTTGCTCCCCCGCGACCCACCTCCTGTCAAGGCGCAGCTTGACTTTTTAAAAAAATGGCGCAGCAACACCAAGCTGCACATGACCCCGCACCCTCTGGCTCGCCATGCATGACCCCGCCCCCAGCACAACCCAGGCTCCTCCCGACGATGCCACCCAGTCTGACAGCTCCCCTTCTCCAGCCAGGGTCAGCTTGCCAGCCTCCTCACCAGAGTCCCACGGCCCGGTGGGGTCTTCTGGCAGGGCCATAAGTCCTGGCAGCGCCCCTACTGACACCAGTGTAGAGCGCCCGCGTATGCTTCCCCTCCATGCTGGGCTGGCAGAGTGGTGCCCTACGCGACTGCGTACTCCGTGTATTCCTAAGGATGGCCCTGGTTATGAGGGAAGACTGAAAGAATTGAGTTTGTTTAGTTTAGAAAAGAGAAGACTGAGAGGGGACATGATAGTGGTTTTCAAGCATCTGAAAGGGTGTCACAAGGAGGGAGAAAAATTGTTCTCCTTGGCCTCTGAGGATAGGATAAGAAGCAATGGGCTTAAATTGCAGCAAGGAAGGTTTAGGTTGGACGTTAGGAAAAAGTTCCTAACTGTTTAATCACCCTAACACTGGAATAAATTGCCTAGGAAGGCAATCACCGGAGATATTTAAGACCAGGTTCAACAGATATCTATGAGGGATTACAGTGCTAGGTGCTGCTGTAAGGGCAGGGGACTGAACTCGATGACCTCTTGAGGTCCCTTCCAGTTCCAGGATTCTGTGATCTTGTTAGTTTTATTCCTAGAAAATTATTCTCTTTCACTAAGTACACAAATGATAACTCAAATTACACAAATACAATACTAAGGGCTAGTTGATGAAAGATTGATTTATAAACAGTTATTGGATTAATGTACTTAAATACAGCTTTTGGGTGCTCAGCACCTTTAAAAATCAGGCTACTTTTGTCTACGTATCTTAATATGGATTTGAGAAAATTTTAGTTCTTTAAGATACCTTGGCAAATCTTTGCTACCACAAATTTTAAAATGTAAGAAATTCACAATGAATGGAGTGTTAGGCTAGTGTTGCTGTCTTGAGTTTTATTAAGATTTCTGAACTTGAGTATTTTTTTTAAAAACACATGTAACCTACAAGACAGAGCTCTGATTTATGGATGACATTTTAGTTATCTGTTTGGTAAATTACTTTTTCAAAATACTTATACTGTGTTTCTATTTTATCTGATTGTTCCCATTTTATACACTGAACTTGCAGAAGAACAATATTCAAAATAAAATCTCAGATCCCATGTTTACTATACTTTCCATTTTCACACTTGTGCTTAAAATACATGAAAATAAATAAGTAGAGTCAAATTATTTTCAAAGTATGTCAAATTGTAAGTCATTGCAGTTAAGTCAAAGCTGTTCATAGTTTTTCCACGACTGATTTCCATAAATAAGAACTACTATACATTTTAAGATTGATTAAACACATGTCAAATTTCTATATTCACACAGATATACAAAGACTCCTACCACAAAAGTTAATTTACAAGAAAGGCAATAACCTTTCATATTGTTTAAAAGTGATTTTCTTTTAACATGCTCATCTGTTTTACTTGTTAAAACATCTCTTTTAAACATCTTCATGAAATCTATTTTAGAACCAAGAAGCAAACATAACGAATTCAGAATAACTTTTTCAGTATTAAAAATCTTGGTTTGGAGGATGGGGGAAGAGAGGAAGAAAAATCAATTTGAGTAGTTGTCACACATTACATATTAATTGTGAAAGTTGAATATTGACCATCAGACATTTAATCCAGCACATACATTTTAAAGCATGGGTTAAGTGCAAAATCATAAGTGGAGGCTGTCTTAAGTAGACTGCAGCTCTAGAGAAGACAAAGGACCCTCAAGACCAAATCACTATGTTTGTATCTCTCCCCCAGGCATTGCAATCTAACAGAAGGTAAGTAGACAAAATAAAAACCAGATAATTTTTTTTATGCTTCAGAGTATAATCTGAACACGGGTACTAAATCACATCTCATGATTATTCTTTTATGCAAAAATAACTTAGAAAAGCAAATCTCTTAAATTGTGGTTACGGTTGGAAATCTGATTTTTAAATGGCACTTTTACACATATCACCTCCTAATTATACATACATTTACTTTATTCAAGCCATACATTTTAGTGCAGAAGAGAGCTAACTATTGCATTCTATTTCATTTTGCAGATACCAAGACAACAAAGCTCTTATTACAAAATAATGTGTTATGGATGATGTACAAAGCCTAATATTTAGTTTATTTTTCCCCTAAGTGCATGTTGTGGCAGTGACAGTATTGTTTGTTTGTAAGACAAAACTTGGGAGGGAGAAAAAAATATGGAAGTTTTTTTAAGTTACCATTCTGACCACAACCACCTGAACAGTAAAAGTTAAAACAGGTTTGTCAAAGACCATTAAATCCTCAGATCTCTTGCATATAAGTTCTGAATCCAAACCCCTTTATTTATCTAAAGAAATTCATTGCCAAAGATAATGATGACTATTTATCTTCTGGACAGATAGTGCATGTGAACAGTGCCATTGGAAATGCCATTTTCCATGTCAGTCTACAGGTAGAACAAAGGTTATCTATATTGAAATGAGAGAAATCATGTATACTGTCTACATCAATTTGCCCACTTTAAATTGTGAGCCTCTTCCACATTTCAAGATATTCAAATTCTAGCAATAGTCCTTGTTATAATTTTAAAGAGTACTTGTTAAAAAGGACATTTTAGAATTCAAATGAACACTTCACATTGTAAAAAGAGAAACCACTACTGCAGTCTCATCTTTTAGCTTGCATTTTCCTATCCAGCTCTTTTAAACATAATTAATTAAGTGACCACATCATGTCCCTGATGTTAATCAATATATAAACACACTTTTAAGCAACATTTTGAAGCAGTGTGGAGTAAATAATTTTAGTGAGCTGTAAAACAGCCACATGCAGAGTATACTGTACGACAACAGATCCAAACCCTTTATAAAAACCCAGCATTCCTTCTTCCCTCTTTATAGTATTGATGCAGTCTCTCATTCCCTCATACTGAGTATTTATTGGAAGCACTTCATAGCCAAGGTCTGTATTGTCAATTATTGTACGTGTTCCCTGAATATGAAGGCGATGTAAAACAGTCTCCAGTGGATAAAGCATGACATCAGCACAAAGGCTAGCGGCAAAACTAGCTATAAGTTCTGGAAAATAAGCATCCAACATACTCTGCACAGAATTGGAGCTCTCTGTTTGAAGGCTCTGGGAACTCTCCCTTTTCAGCATAAGCAGAACAAACTTCTGGATGATGGAACTGATGATGTAATGAAGAATTCCATGTAGAACAGTGGGAAAGGTCAAAGCCATAAGGGGAAGGAGCCGTTTGCTATGGGGCACTCCCAAACCAATCACTCTGCCAATCCCTTCTTTGACACAGTCCAAAATCCCAGGATTATCTCGAATGATTTCACTCTACAACCAAAATGAAATATAGTTAAAATGAGTATTGGTCTGGCTTGTTTGGGAAATAGGATAGATGTAGACCATAATCAAAGCAGTATGTTTCACCTTTCAAGGATAGTTAAATATTGTGGGCTTATCATACTCGCATACACATAATACAACAACACTGATTCATTGAATCGGATTAAATCTACATATTACAGAATGTAAACACAACTTTACTTAAATATATTACAAGTTGAAACTCCCTAATCTGGACTTCCCTTGTGTGGCAACACCTGTGGTCCGGCATTGTCCAAGCAAGCACTCACGGGGATAAGCTGTTGGGCTGGCACCAGGAGCATTGTCAAGCTAGGGGGACGGAGATGGAGTCCTGGGGGCAGCAGAACACAGAGGGGAATGCAGGGTGGAATGGGTGTGGAGGGAGATGAGTGCCAGAGCAGAGCTCTCTGTCATCCGGGGGGGAGGGAGTGTAACAGCACGGCTTCTGGGGGGAGGGGGGAAGAAGAGAGAAATCACAGAGCCCCTGGGACATAGCAGGGGTGCTGAGAAGGGGAGCACAGAGCCACCAAGAGGAACAAGGACCCTCCTGTAAAAGTGGCAGCATAGCTGCTCAGTGAAGTGTGGAGTTCCCAAGGTGGCAGCGGGGCTGCTGCGGGGAGTGTGGAACCCACCAGGCAGCAGCAAAACTGCTCTGTGCAGTGTGAAACCCTAGGCAGCAGCAGGATCCTGGAGGGAGTGCAGAGCCAATGGGTAGTAGCCGAGCCCTGGGTGGCAGCAGAATCACTGGGGAGAAAGTGGAGCTACCAGCGGGAGCACAGAGCCCCAGGCAGAAACAAAACTACTACGGGGAGAGCATAGCTCTGGACAGTAGTGGAGTCCTCTGCCAGGGAGAGTGGAGTCCCAGGCTGCAGCGAAATTTGGGTGGGGGGAGGGAGTAGAACTCCTCCTTTCCCCCACGCTGTGGGGAAAGCAAAGCCCTGACCTTGGGAGGCCTGAAAAATCAGAGCCCCTGCTCCATCGACTTCCCCTGGTCTGGCATAATTCACCAGTTCAGGATCACTCAGGTCCCAAGGGTCCTGGACCAGGGATGTACAACCTGTATTATCAATTTACAATATCCTGTTTTGTTTCCAAGTACCTTAACTCAAACTATGAGTATGTATAGTAGTGTATTCAGAAAGCATATTATGTCATAACACATAATCCTGGAAACATTAAACTGTATGAGAACAAGGATAATTTATTAAAAACTTGAAGGACTAATCCAATTAATTTGGAATTTCTCTACTTAAGATTAAAATGTGAGTCTTTGATAGGTCACCTATTTTTAATTTGTGAGTTAAAAAAAACACAGTACAAATCCAGATATAACTTCAACTACAAAAATTCAGGTGTCTCTCAAGATTCAGTATATGCCAGGAGTGGCCAACCAGTGGCTCCAGAGCCACATGCGGTTCTTCAGAAGTTAATATGTGGCTCCTTACATAAGTACCAAATCCAGGGCTAGAACTACAGGCACCAATTTTCCACTGGGCCGGAGGATGTTCACTATTCAACCCCCAGTTCTGCCCTAGTTGCTGTCCCCCTCCACCCTTTCCTCTTAGGATCCTGCCACTTTCTACCCTCTCCAATGAGCTGGTCACACCCATACTCCCCTCTCCAGTGTTTCCCACTGAGAAAGAGCTGATCCCAGTGGGCAGGAGGAAAAGGAGAAGGAGGCACTGATCAGTGGGGCTGCTAGTGGGTGCGATGTGCTGTGAGTGGTGGTGGGGAGCTGATCGGGTCTGGTGACATAGAACTTTAGCTCTTTGGCAATGTGCATTGGTACATTCTGGCTCCTTCTCAGGTTTAGGTTGGTCATCCCTGTTATAAGCTATGTTAAGTGTAACAGACTCAAAATTGTGTGTGTATGCTGCAAAAATTATGGTGAGGTCTTTCATTCTATTCTTGACTCTTAGAATTGTGCTTTCTTCACCGACGCAGCCATCCATAAAAATAGCAAGGGTCATTTTAAGTTATTTTTATATTTAGTCATATTATTTTTTCACCTTCTATTATATCTCTGGACAGTCCTTTAATGATAAGTCAAAAGCACTGCCCCCCTTTTTGATTACACTGGGTATAATGTACTCCATCTTGGAGTCAGAACTTCAGTGGGAATCAAGTATGAATAAATCCTTTCTGAAGAGATCCATGCACTTGTGATCAAACTAATATTTACAAACTTTTTAATAAATCTGTGTTTCCCCACACAAAAAAAATAAAAACAAAGAGCGGGTTGCATGCATGAGCATACCTGTAAGCCACAATACATTTAGAGTAGTTTGTCAAATGCAGTCCACCAACTCTGGTCTGTTTATTTAGTGTTAAGAATACTATTGGTTTTTTAAATAAAATAATTTTCATGGCTCTTGTATATAAGATCTTTCAATAAACAGCACCCCACAGAGTTTGGTAGATATTTTCTTTTATATTCCCATCCTTCTCAACTGTAAAATCATGTTATCTTGCTGCATATTTAAAAAAAACCTCAGTGAATATAATCTTTTGATATATTAATTCTCTTCCTCGACACACACTGTGGCTGCGTCTATACTGCAAGCCTCTTCCACAAGAGGAAACGCAAATGAAGTACTCATTTGCATAGGTCGCGCTCTCATTTGCATTTTCTCTTTGGATCCCTTTTGTGCAAGAGGTTTTTGCGCAAAAGAGATCTGTATAGAGGTCTCCTTTTTTGCGCAAAATCCCCTTTTTGTGCAAGAGCAGAGCTGTATAGATGGCTACTTTTTGCCCCAAAACTCCTTTGTGCAAGAGCTGTTGAGCTCTTGCGCAAAAGCCATCTATACAGCTTTTTTGCGCAAAAACCTCTTGCACAAAAGAGATCTGAAGAGGAAATGCAAATGAGAGTGTGACCTATGCAAATGAGCACTCCATTCACATTTCCTCTTATGGAAGAGGCTTGCAGTATAGACTCAGCCTTTATGTGCACAATAGTGACAAATAATGCAAGGGATGCAGATTTACTTTGGAAACATTTTGAAAGCCGAAACATTTAATATCAAGAAATAGTTCTAATATCAAGAATAATTGTAGTGTAAGTACATCAGCCTTTAAGGAAATAATGGACCCAGATAACATACAAATCAAACTCTTTCTATAGGTCTTGGTAAAGAATATCTTTCTGTTATGAATTAACAATTAAGCGGAATTATCCGAGTCTAATTACTGAATAAATTCAAAAACTTGTGAAAATAATGTATTAATTAGTAACACCTAATCAACAAACTTAGAAGTCTGCATTTAAAACAGATTATTGGTGTACAGGCTGTTTTGATCTAGATATTCTACAAGAGGTAATATTTAAAATGATGGAAAGAAAACTTGCATGGCTCAAAATGACACTGCCAGTGGCATTTGCTGTACTGAAACCTTGGCAAAAATAAAAATTGTAAAAAGTTTACATTGAATATTTTCTATAGGAGGTATATGTAGTAAGTATGGCCTAGTAGTTTTGACACTAACTTAAAAAAAAAAATCAGAACACATATGCACAATTCTTTAGGGTATTATATTTTGAAAAATGCAAATAGTTTTTTCTTTTATTTGTAAAGCAAGGAAAATAGGATATGAAAAGGTATCTGCTATAATAGCAAGATAAACACAATGGAGATATCTAGCACAAATAAATAATAAAGGTAAATTTCAAGTGACCAGCAAAGGCTTTGCCTTTATAGTTGAGATAGCTTTCTTTTACTATTTTAAAATGGAAGTTTTATATTTATTAAAAGAAATTAGACACTTAGGGCATGTCTAGAATACATCCCTATGTTGCCAGAGGGATGTAAATTAGACATACCGACATTGAAAATGAAGCAGGGATTTAAATCTCCTGTGCTTCATTTGAATAAAAATGGCCGTCGCGTTTTGCCAAGTCAGTAGTTTGTCGGCAAAAAGTGGATGTCAAGACAAGGATTGGGCGACAAAGAAAGCCTTTGTCGGCCAATCCCTTATGCCTCATAAAACGAGGTTTACAGGATTGGCCGACAAAGGCTTTCTTTGTCGCCCAATCCCCATCTTGACAGCCACTTTTTGCCAATGAACTGCCGACTCGGCAAAACGCAGCAGTCCTTTTTATTCAAATGAAGCGCGGGAGATTTAAATCCCTGCTTCATTTTCAATATCACTACGTCTAATTTACATTCCTCTGGCGACAGAGGGATGTAGTCTAGACATACCCTTAATCTAAAAAGAATCTAATATTGTTCATTCAGTCATGCAACATTGACTCAAGTACAGTGCTTCAAAACTTGTCAGGAAAGATACTATCAATTGACTTTGATTCTTATCTACTTCATTTTAACTACCCAATCTTCAGATACTCACTGATTCCCTTAACCCCCCTATTTTCTATACCCTCTGCTCCCTGTCTCCCACTCCCCTCCTTTCTCTCCCCCCCCCTCCTCCCATTCTCCTATTTATTTTGGGTCTGCCCATCCTAAACTCAGAACTCCGGTCACCTGAAGAAGTCAGCTGTGCCCATAAAAGCTCATGATACCATCTACACGTTTTGTTAGTCTATAAAGTGCTATCAGACCATTTGTTGTTTTTAATTTTATATATCAAGTGTGCCACCCTGTGGTTTAAAATGGAAAAGACCAGAAGTGCGGAGATGACAAACTTCTCCAATGCATAGTTCCTTTAAGACACATAGCATGATTTTTACCACTAGGACTGCTGTGTAAAAAACAAATACTCAAAAACCTGTAACAAGATATAGACCTTAAACACTCAAGAATTCTCAGCAGCTATGTGTCTCTCTTACAAAGAACTGTGCTGAAGAGAACTTGACTTTTGTCAAACCACCTTCCAACTCCGTTGATTCAAAGACTGACAAGTTTATTATTGTTTCAAGGTCACTACTCATACAACGGCAGAAGCTTTATGTATTGTATGTTAAGGGACTATACTCTGAAATAATCAGACATACATAAATAAGTAGGCCAAGTATCATTAATACATTCATACAGATACTTGATCCCAACTCCTAAAAAAAAATCCCACTGAAATGAATTAAAGGCAATTGATAGACAGTTAATTATCCTTGAAAACTAGAATCATACACAATGCACCTACAGTGCTCACATTTTATGATGTGTAAGTCTCACCTAAGCTCATGATCAGGGCTCGACAAACTATACAATCTACTCGCGAGTAGATTTCAGCCACGCGCCCCGTTCATTTGCAGCATGCGGATGTGCAACGCGGCTCTTGCACATGTGCAGTACGGGGCTGGCGAGCAGTTTTTGCCGCCGTTTGTCAAGCTCTTCTCATGATGCTCACTGAAAAAAACACCGCCCTGGACGAAGACATTTTGATGAACTCCCTACACACTCTAGAGCAGGGTTTCCCAACCTATGGGTCTCCATTACATTTCAACAGGGTCACCAAGTCTCTTCCCAGGTAGCTCTGCCTCGCCTCCTCCCCCTGTTTTTGAATTGCCTTGGGTAACCAAGTCTTCCTGATTGGGTCCCCATCTGGAAAATGTTGGAAACTGCTGAAGTTGATATTCTGCATTGAATAACCTCAGATAACCACAGGGGACAAGAACCACTTTTGCTCAGCTAGAGAGACTGATATGCTCTGCTAAGAGACCCTGGGGAAAAAAAGAGATTGTGTGAGAATTTGTTGTGTCAGCCCCAAGAAGGTGAAGGTTTTGTTGCCTGATCCCGGCCTCATCGGGGTCTTTGAGCACCCCTGGGAACAGGGATCCACAGAAAAGGTGCCACAAAACCAGATCAGTGGTAGTGGGCTCTGTAGAAGGAGACTATCCTTTGATAAAGAGTACAGGTTATTAGCATTTCAACAAGCACAGTTCATAATCCGATTGGAAGTCTTCCAACTCTGCTTTGCTGAAGCAGTAAGTCGCACTTGTTAGAGGTTTTTTTGGTAAATATTAGATGAAAGAAGGTAGACTGAGTTTCAAGCCAATACCTCATATCTTAGTAAGTATTTTGTCTAGTGCATCAATGAATGAAGCTATGTGTTTAATCATATATTTATTTAAAAAAAGATTAGCTAAAAGAAAAAGGGTTTTCTTTTAGCTCCATTTATCAAAACCTCAATAGAACCATACAGAAATTTCTAGTATTATTAATCAAAATCCAGTGAGAAAAAGTAATATACTTTGTTCTCGATATAAATACTTAAAAAAAAGAAGTATTTTTGAACAACGTAGCTTTTTATAGGTAATAGATATATAGATGGTAAATTACCTGCACAGTTTCAATCAGGCTTGCTGAATAAAAAGGCATTGCTACCACATAGGTTAGGCTGCAGGAATTAATAAGAAAATTATTACTTTGTTTACAAACTGTATTACTAAAATATCAATATTCTTAGATTCAGGACACATTTAGCCACGGAAATCTTCATATTTATACAATGATGATACTATGCCCAAAAGAAACTATTTAACAATTGAGCGCACAGAACAAATTGCAGGATCAAAGAATAAAACAAATTTTATTGTATTAAAGATATTTGAAATTGTATTTGTTAAAGGCCACAAATAACCATGAGCCATGAATCAGATCAGGAGCTTTCATAAGAGATAAGTTAATTTCTACCATATTCTGTTTGTTTCTTAAGCATACGTAGGCTGTACACAGCTTTTGTAGGCAGGCATAATATAGACATCATATGCCTCCCTCTCTAACAAGTATTCACAGCACTGTAGAAGGTGAGGCACTGCTTTGGTGAGTAGAGTAAGGATATCCCTGAACCCTCTGGATATGTACACCTGGGCATATATCCTACTCACTCAAGCTGTCTTCCCAGTCCTGCCACCTCCTCTGCAGTGATAAGACTCTGGCCCAAGAAAAAAAGATTCAGCAGCTCCCCACTGCTCCCCCACACCAGAACTTTTCATTGACACATGTAGCAATACACGGCAGTGTGGACACAGACTGCTTTTTAGCTACATATACCCCACATGGTGCTGGTGTGCAGTGAAGATGTAATCTCACACTGTTTATTTGGAACCAATAAACAATCTGAAATTCTCATTTGCAGCAAAGAACATTTTTTGAAGATGCACAGAACTAATACCATCATTATGACAAATCTCAAAGGGATGCAGACTCCTTACAGAAAGAGATCAATCCAAGTGGCACTCAACCTAGGACCTTAAGGTTCTTTGGTTGAATATTCAGTTTATGTATATCATTTCATTGCACCACTGAAGCTTTTGACAACCACAAGCTTGCTGGGCTCTGCGGTGGCATTCATTGGTTTCCCATCCTAAGAACTTATGTTATTGTATGCAGCTTCTCATAAGAATACTATCAGTTTTCAGCAAGGGCCATACTTACCCTTTCAGTAGAAGATGGCCTCCTATTTGTCTGAGGCTCCACTTATGTGAAAGTTCCCTATAAGTTAAAGCAGAATGTACCTGTAAAATCCAAGGACAGAAAACTCCAAGCATTTATTTCATCACTATAATACAAGTTTAAAATATCAGTTTTATAATTAGGGTCTACACACATCCGCCACTACAGTTAATGGAAAGATCATGTTTTAGAGCTCATACAAATCTTATTTTTCAAAATTAGACATTTTAGTTTGTTAGGACTGCTGGAAATTCTACCAGGAAAACAAGTGACTTTCATTGATCTGTTTGTAGCTCAATGTGTACTAAATTTTTACATGATTGTTACATGATCATTACTGCATGCAAAATTCCAGAATTATGAAGCAAATTTGGTTTTGTTTCTCTATTTCTAAGTGAATGGTGAGTTTTAGACAACAGTCTTACTTTGCCATCCTAGAAACACTGAAAATGGCTAGCTATATTTCAAACACTGCTTTTATTCCTTGAAGGGACACTTGTCTAGTTTTCAATCTTCTCATATGCTTTACCTGCTTTGAAGTGCTAACTTACTTCAGATATTTCAACTATCTAAGACACAAGGTCTCAAGCCTGCAGCTGTATAGTAATTCAGCAAATGCTAATAAAGTATTCAAATGTAGACATGTTTAGCTATTTCCTTATGTTCTATGCAAAAATTGTCTTAATAAATCTCCACAAGTAGTATGTTCTAAATGCATATTTCAAAATATTTCAAAAAAAGTTAATATCAACCACAGTCTATTTAATGGATAATGTTCACAGCATCAATTAGTGAGGGCATCAGACAGCAGTAAATTTGCTAAATGACCTCAAAATTATTTAAGATTAAAAGAAGTTTCATTCTATGGCATGTCAGACATCCTGGACTATGATTTATATTTTTGCTGCTGAAAAATAATACACAAATTATATTCACCTTAAGTCTTGTAAAATACCCCACACTTAGTAGTGTGTCAGCAATTCTAATTTAAGAAATTATATCAGACTACTGTACTGAGCACACTACTATACAGAACAGAGATTTGCCTGACAACAATGAGTAGCAAAGAGAAAGTGGAACTTGCTCATTCCAAGATGGCTGAGGATATTGTACACATTTTGTGGAAAATACAGTAATTTCTCATTTAACACGTGCCCGCTTAACACGTTTTCGCGATAGCACAATATTTTTTTTTAGGGAACGTTTTTTGAATTACACGACCGTCCCCAGAATAACATGATTTCCCCAGTTGGCCTGTTGCTGGTGGCTGCGCGGGGCTTCCCCTGCCTCCCTGCAAAGCGGTGGAGGGTTCGCCACTCACCGCACAATTCCCCACTGGACGCCTTGCCCCCTTTCCTCCGCCCTTGCTTGCAGGCCGGAAACCCAGCCGGCCCATTGCCGGCGGCTGCACGGGGCTTCCCCTGCCTCCCTGAAAAGCGGCAGAGGGTTCGCCACTTGATGTGCTGTTCCCCAGCGATTCCCCCCCCCCTTACCCGACACAGTGCGGGTCCTGGCAGACCCGTCACAGGGGCATACTCCCAACCCAATCCCACTCCCACTCCCAACTCAATCCCTGGCCCTCCCCTTCCCTAGAACCACACACCTCCCCTCCCTGCTGTAACCCAGATCCCTTTCTCCCCCAACCTTATGTCGGTCCCAACAGACACCACCGTTTGAAACGCAACGCCCACCTTTTCCATTATTTTCAATGGGAAAATTGACCCCGCATAACACATTTTCATATAACACGATCATTTTCTGAAACATATCTATAGTGTTAAATGAGGAATTACTGTATAAAAAACAAGCACACAAGTAAGCAAGCTGACAGAGCAGCACATGGTAGGAAATATCATCAAAGAAAGAATACTCAGGTGGTTGGGACACTTATACCAGATGGGAAACATGCTAAGCAAGCACTGAACTGGGTACCTGAAAGAGGAAAGAAAGCAAGGAAGGTCAAGGAAGAACTGGCAGATGACAGTAATAGAAAATACTAAACGTTTTGGGATCACCTGGGTAGAAGTGAGCAACTGTAATCAATGGGAAAACTGGGCTGTCCAGTGTCAGCTGCATGCCACTGTGCACATACAGAATTCATGTGTCCCACAGATTTATTCTCAGATAGAGAGGCACTGTAGCTGCATCTTTTGCTCACCAGGGGCTGCTGTGGTGCCAGAACACTGGCAGCAGGCTTACTCACTGGCCTTAGCAGTTAGCAGGAGAACACAGGCTGGCTACATCTATACTGGCATGATTTTCCAGAAATGCTTAAAACGGAACAGTTTTCCGTTATAAGTATTTCCGGAAAAAGCACGTCTACATTGGCAGGATGCTTTTCCGGAAAAGCACTTCTTCCGGAAAAGCGTCCGTGCCAATGTAGACGTGCTTTTCCGCAAAAAAGCCCCAATTGTCATTTTCGCGATCGGGGCTTTTTTGCGGAAAAGAAATCTGTGCTGTCTACACTGGCCCTTTTCCGGAACAGTTTTCCAGAAAAGGATTTTTGCCCAAACGGGAGCAGCATAGTTTTTCCGGAGAAGTACTGATGATTTTACAGTAGATTGTCAGTGCTTTTCCGGAAATTCAAGGGACCAGTGTAGACAGCTGGCAAGTTATTCCGGAAAAGCGGCTGATTTTCGCGGAAAAGAAATCTGTGCTGTCTACACTGGCCCTTTTCCGGAACAGTTTTCCAGAAAAGGATTTTTGCCCAAACGGGAGCAGCATAGTTTTTCCGGAGAAGTACTGATGATTTTACAGTAGATTGTCAGTGCTTTTCCGGAAATTCAAGGGACCAGTGTAGACAGCTGGCAAGTTATTCCGGAAAAGCGGCTGATTTTCCGG